CAGCAGGAACAAATGAGCTTTTGGGCAAAATGCCAGCGACAGGGTGGGTTAGTCAAAAAATACTGAGACAGACTAACACATTAGTGTTTTCCTGGGATTTGTTGATTAAGATAAATACAGAACAATGCCAGTTTCCCTTTCACAACTGATATGAAGCCCATCAAATACACACTGATAAGTCAGTTCATAATTGTTCCTAATGTTCACCTCTGTTTTCTCTGCTGCTGCTGCTTCAGTATTGATCTAACTCACATTAGGGCTGTTTTTTCTTGCAGAGTTGTGAAGCTTGCCACTGCCAATAAAAATAAAATCTTTGAATTTCCTTCTTTTTTTCTAGAGTTGAGTCCTTCGGGTGACTACCACTGCATCATCTGTGATCTCAAGTTGTCCTCCAAACTTAAGCTCCTGGACCACATGAACATGCACACCGGAGCACGTCCATACGGCTGCGCTGAATGTGGGAAGCGCTTCTGCCAGATTTACAACTACCGTGTCCACCTGCGCACGCACGCCCAGGCAAAAGTGGATCGTCTTCTGTGCCGCATCTGTAGGAAGGGTTTTACATCACAGGAGGATCTGAAGGACCACCTGTCGAAAACTCATTTTGAGGATGAGTTTTATGAGTGTGACTTGTGCAAGCGTGTGTTTACTTCCCTGAAAGTGTGTGAATATCACGTGAAGTTACACAAGTGCATGCTGGATGTTGTTTGTGAAGTATGTGGCCGCAATTTCTCCTCTCCGAAGTCTCTCGCTCGCCACCGGAAGAAGATGTGCCATCGGAGTTTAAAATGCACAGACTGCACAAAAACCTTTACCAAGAAAAATGCTCTCCTGAAGCACAGCTTCTCTCATCTGGGTTTGCTGCCTTATACCTGTGTACGATGCCGCTGCCACTTCCGCCTGGCGAAGCTGTACCGTCAACACAAGTGTATACCTGATAGAGTTCATTGTGTGGCATGCCTACGAGAGTTTCCTAGTCAGGAGGACTTCCAGCAGCACAAAAAGGACACAGGCTGCTGGGGAAATCAGGAGCCTAAAGGGGATGAGATCAGGTGTTTGGAGTGTGGACAGAGGTTTGACACCTCCGAGGAGCTGAAAAAACATGCTGGGGCTCACCAGAGGGTGCTGAAATGTGCTGAATGTGGTAAGGGGTTCCGGTCTGCCTTGCTGTTAATGTCCCACATGGGCGGCCATGCTGGCAATTCACCCTGCCTTTGTCAGAGGTGTGGACTGGGCTTTCCCCACCAGCAGAACTATGATGGCCACCTAAAGACCTGCGGACAAACACCTCAGCATACAGTGAGTTTTAAAGAACCAAAAGTGTTTTTATCTGCACTACACTGCCCTCCCTCATTTTCTAAAGTGTAGTGTGTATTTTTAGATAGATTTCCTACCTTGGGCAGCTATTTGTTTCAGTTTGATGTGTGTGTTTGCTTACATTTTAACTTCAGGGTTTGACTTTCTGACAAAATTGAGCTTACTTGAACCACCAATAACAACTACTTTGCCAAACAACCCTTTTGGCAAATGCACTTTTGTGTAATGATAAAAAGGTTTTGTTGTGATTGTAAATTTTCCTCAAATAAGTTTTTAGGTCATAGTTATTACTTAAACCGATGAAATACTGTCAGTATGGAAGGTATTCAGACCCTTTCAAGTTTTCCACATTTTGTTAGGATTCAGACTCATCTTAAAATGGATTCAATATTTTTTTTTCCTCATCAGTCTATACACAATACTCTACAATGGTTAAGTTAAAACAGGTTTTTGGAGTGTTATTAAAAATAAATGACTGAAATATCCCATTTGCACAAGTATTCCGACCCTTTGTCGTCGTTGAGATGCTTCAACAGCTTGGTTAGAGTCCACCTTTGCCTGATTTAATGCATTGGTTATGATTATGAAAGGCGCACACCTGTCTGTTTAAGGTCTCATTGTTGATGTCAGAGTGAAAACAGCCATGAGGCTGAGAGAATTGTCCATAAACCTGTGAGACAGGACTGTGTCAAGACACAGATCTAGGGAAGGATACAAGAAAATTACTGCAGCATTGAAAGTGCCCAAGAGCACAGTAGCCTCTATCATTCGCAGATGGAAGAGATTTGGAACCACCACCAGTCTTCACAGATCTGACTGCCCAGCCAAATAGGAATTGGTCACACCGGTAACCAAGAACCCAAGGGTCACTATGAATGAGATCCAGAGTTCCTTTTCTGAAAAATGGGAGAACCTTACACAAGGACAACCATCAACGCAGCCCTCCACCGATCAGGCTTCTATAGTAGAGGCCAGATTGGCGGAGGGCCTCAGGACTTTCAGTCTTTTATTTGCTCAAAACACTGCCAAGTGTTACAGGCTTTCTGTTTTCCCAAAGATGGAACTATTTAGCTACAATTCCCAACAGCATGCATGGAGAAAACCAGGCACTGAGCATCCCCTCATTAATAGCATCCCTACAGTCAAACACAGTGGTGGCAGCATCATGTTGTGGGGATGTTTTTCTGTGTCTGGAACTTGGAGACTAGTCAGGATAGAGGGAAGGATTAATGCAGAAAAATATAGAGCGGTCCCGAATGAAAACCTCCAGAGTGCTCAGGATCTCAGGCTGAAGCAAAGGTTTACATTTCAAATTGACAATGACCCAAAGCATATGGCAAAAAAAAAGAAAATGCAGGCATGGCTTTGGGAAAACCAGAGGCACGGAGTCTGGAGCTGAACTCAACAGAGCACCTCTGGAGAGACCTGAGAATGGCTCTGCACCAACGGTCGATGTCTAGCCTGGTTGACCTTGAATGATTCTGCTAGGAAGAATGGAAGAAAAATCTAAAGGAAAGGCATACTTGGCTTGCAGCTTCATTCTCAAGAAGTCTTGAGGCTGTAATTGCTGCCCAAGGTGCTTTAACCAAGTACTAAGTGAAGGGTCTGAATGCTTATGTAAATGATGTCAGTCTTTTCTTTTTAATTTATTTTCAAAACATTCTCAGGACCTGCTTTAACTTTGTGGAGTATCATATGTAGACTGATGAGGAAAATAATGAATCCATTTAAAGATGAGTCTGAAACGTAACAAAATGTGGAAAACCTGAAAGGGTCTGAAAACTTTCTGTACTGACTGTATAACATGCCACTGGACAGTGCCAGAGTAGCTGTTTACCAATTTCTCCACATTGGTTGTATTGACAAGTCACAGCAGTGTGTTGTAAATTTCATTTGCTAACTGGGATGTTTTTGTCGTCTTTCCCATTTTAGAGTGCTCCCTCCAAACGTCAGGTCTCAAAGAGTTCGCCGTCTGAGACACAAACACTCAGTACAAAACCAGACTCGACAAATCCAGCAAATCCAGTCACGCTGCCTGCTGCTGTTTTAAACAGCCCTACTGCACCTGTTATAGAGTCTCCTAGCCCAGGGCCTGTGACGGGGAGTGTGTCCCCTGACTCTGGCCCATCACATGGGGTATGGAAGCTAACCCTAGACAAACAGCCACCTCCTGGTGCTACACTTGTCTTGTTTCTTCCAGTCTGTCCATCTCAAAATGATGGCATGACACTGCCTTCTTTTGAAGTCTCACTAAAACCCACTGTGGATTTGGTAACTGAGATTACACAGGATCCAGAATGTGAAGCACCTCTGGATTTGTCTCAAAAGTCTAAGCCGTCAGAGTCTGCTCTGAGTAACATTCCTCTTCTTCCTATTAAAAGAGAGCCAGAAGAATTTGAAATCTCAGGAGAGGCTAATGGCACTGAAGGAGAAGAATTTAAATATAGTGGTAGCAAAGCCATCATTAAAGCAAACCTAGGAGAAAAAGATAAATATGCCGATCCTTTGGATCTCACAACTTTCAGTAAAACAGCCTCTGGACAAAAAATGGATATTAAGAAAGAGCCTTTGTCTCATGGCTCTGATTTTGATTTACATTCATCCACCTCCTGCCAGCTGCTTGACTGTAGGCTAGAGGAGGAAATGAAGATGGAGGTTGATATTTCACACCCTGCCTGTGCTGATACAGAGAAATGAAATATGGGGGGGGCAGGAAAAAGAAACGTAAAATTCTCTCTGTTGACACATTCCCACCTTGCAAAGGACACAGTAACTGTTCTGCTTTACCTGTTGCCATGTAAAGCAAAACTGGAGGTGATGGTACAGTAGTTGGAACAATACTAATGAATATTGTATATACTGTATTTCTGTCTAATTGGTACTCCATATCTACCAACATACGGTTAAATGACAAGGCAGAATTTTCCACAAGTACGAGCAGACTCTCTCTTTGTTTTTTGTCTTAGAGTAAGAAAGATTCTGTATTAACATTAAGGAGAGTTTTGTTTGCTTTGTAATTTCAAACATTCCAAGCTCTTCTTACGCTATTTATTTCACTTGCTTTTGGGTACAGCTTGTGACTTGGGCCACCAGAGCAAAAATGGTACTGTAATAGTCATGAATTCTATGCAATATTTTGCAGTGTTTCCCACAGCATTAAGAATTTTCCTGATTTCTACTCTTTATGTTTGTGTGGGGAAAATTGAATCCTTAAGTTTATTCATTCTTGTTATGTTTAATAAAAGCACTGGATTGCATACTATTCAGTATAAAACTTGAAATGATGTGCATACACACTTGACCTTTGATACTAGATTAAATTGTATTGTATCATTTTAAATAATGTTACCCAACATTATGATCCACATTTGCTGAGTCTTTACAGTCTACAGGTATCTTTTGGTGTTTTTCTAAGACAAATAAACTTGTCCTTGATGCAAGATTGGTTAATATGTTTATTTATTTATTTTAGACTTTAACTGCATGCATGTGTGCAAAACCTTGGTCTCCAAATTTCTCAGCTCTCATTCTGAAGAAGAATCTGTAGGGTGTGCTAGTAAAACAAGGCTGATCCATGGAGGCCCCATCAACCTAAAGGGCTTACAGGATTTGCTGCTGATGACTTGTCAGATACCAGAGGACACCTTCCAAGGTTTTGTGGAGTCCATGCCTTGCCTATTCAGAGATGTTTTTGCAGCATGAGGAGGACCTATATAATATTAGGTAGGTGGTTTTAATGTTGTGGCTGATCAGTGTATATGACTGATTGATTATTGTAGAAATTTCTGTATTACTATAATGCCTAAAAATTTTCCAGATATAAACTACTGTTCTGTTTTATTACCATGTTTACATTAAAATTACTATTGATCAATAGACTTTGTTCTAAAACTTTTAGAACTGTTATGCTGTTAGTTTTATCTTCTACACGTTTTTAAAATAATTGTTTTAATTTTATTTCAATGTTTCCTTTTGGTCTCGTACGTATTTCTTATGTATGTTTTTACTTTTTAGAGCAAATCTATTTAAAGGGGGAAGAGAGAAAAAACTACAACTCCCGTCACACGATTATAGAACCCGGAAATACAATCTCTGCATGGTGACGAGATGTTTCAAAGGGAGAAGGCTCGAGTACATTAGAGATAAATGAAAATGTGCATTTTTCGTCGCTTAAATTATTTTGAACCTCAGTGTCTGAATTTTTGAAGTCGTTGACGTGAATCTCAGTCGTCGGTGTGGCGCCAACAGCAGCGTTTGTATTAATTTATGGACAAAGACAAGTGTAGCGACGTTGTAAGTCGGCGACCCCGTTAGTTGATTGAGCTAAAATAATTTAACATTACATCAATATGTTTTGAAATGGACTAATAGTTTCACTGGCGTTTAATTAATCATTACCCCACAGTAAGCTAGGCTGTTGTGTATTGTTTGAACCCAAGCCACATTTATGTGTAGCTGACTCTGTACAGACTCTGGGCTCATGCTTTGTGTACTTCTTGCAGCATGGTCAGTGCTCCTGGATGGAGATGCATCAGTTCATTGGTGACCTTATCACGTCTGGAAACACTTTGAAGGATCAGCCAAATGTTCTAGATGCAGTATGGGGTCTGGCTGCTGGTAGCACTACAGCTCTTGCATTCAAAGGTGCTTCTCTTCAGCAACCTCCACCAAGCCAGGACAAGGCAGAGGCAAGCCAACACAGCCAGCCCCGGGCAGCACAGAGAAAAGGAGAGACTGGGGAGGGAAGAGAAGGTGAGGTCTCAGAAAAGGTTTCTACCATTTTCTTGCCAAAACATATTTAGTGTTCTAATATTATTTCTTAATGTTTAGATGTGCATCATGCCTGCACCTGCCCTGGCTGCCCTTACTCCACCTCTTCACTTTCCTTTGAGACTTTAAAACCCACACAATCCTTATCATCACCACACTCAAATGCAGTCTGCCACTCCAAAGGCCTTTGCAGTATTGCCCCAGGGACCCTTAACGTGGGCTTATTGGACACCTCTGAACCAAGCAGCACTACCTCATCTGAGCAAGTGACCAGGCCGTCCAGCAGACTGCAGAGGGAGGATGCAGACAGGGGGGCTCGAAGCCCAGAGCAGAACTCAGAAACTCCTCCTTCCAGAGTGTCCCACCTCTCAATGTTTCCCTGCTTCTGTTGCCACCACAGCCTCCAAACCTGCACCCAGATACTGAGCCACCAAGAAGGCACAGATTCCCCATTTTCTCATGCTCATCATCATTTTCATCACCACCACTGCCCAATAAGATCTTGTTTTTCCTGCCCTCAGCTTGCCCACTCTCACTCCCCACAGCTCTCTGGTTCCTGCTTATCTTGCCAGCAGTCCTTTCCAAGCTGTTCTCATGTCTGCCACCACCAGCACAGACCAGCACAGCAAGAAGAGGACAGAGGCAGGACAGCAATGAGCCTCTTGTTGCTGCACCCTTGTATGCATTGCTCTGCCTCTTTTTCCAGACCGTCACAGCTGCTGCAACACCAGCGCTCTGAGCATGCACACAAACCATCTGGCTTCCTCTGTACAGAGTGCGGCAGGGCCTTCAACTCGCACAGCAACCTCCGCATCCACCTCAATGTGCACACTGGTGCCCGGCCCTACTCCTGCTCTGACTGTGGCAAGAGTTTTAGCCAGTCAGGGGCTCTGAAGATCCACAGACGGATTCACACTGGTGAAAGACCATATTCCTGTGGCTTCTGTGGCAGAGGGTTTCCACATCTGGCAGGGGTCCGGGCACACCAGAGGACACACACAGGGGAGAAGCCCTACTGCTGCAGCCAGTGTGGAAAATGCTTCACACAGTCAGGAGCTCTGAAGATCCACACTCGCATCCACACAGGAGAGAGGCCTTTTACCTGCAGCCTCTGTGAGAAAGGCTTCTCCAACCGTTCTGGAATCCGTTTCCACTACCGCACAGTCCATGGACTGGCTCCTGAACATGCTGGGGAAGCTGGAGCTGGGGTTGTATATCGTAGACCAGCAGGTCGTAGTTATCTACCTGGTCGTCCCAGGACTTTTCCACCTGCCAGCACTGATCTGAATAACAGCCCAGACAGCAACTCAAACACAGCTCCAAATTCCAGAGATTCTCCGGCATTGACTGCAGCTCAGTCCGAGAGAAGAAACCCAGGCAGTAACATAGAGGGGCTGCTATATGCATGTGAGGACTGTGGCCTGCGTTTTAAAGATGCCCCATCCAGGAACAGACACCAGACTTTGGTGCACTACTCCTCTGAGGGGAGAGAGGAAGAGGAGGAGGAGGGGGGGTGTCCAAGGAAGGAGGTAAACATAAACAGGAAGGTCCAGGATAACAGTAGGGAATGAACTATTGCTGTTGGTGCCTTCCAACAGGCTCAACATCACATTGAAACTGCAGAGTAATTATTGTAAAAATTATGAGTGGGGAATATAGATGAATCTTTTTTCAGTTTGGAAAGTTTTTGATATTGCAGTACTTGTGTTCAAGCTACTGTATAGACTGAAGTTTTCAAGGCTTTAAAAGATCATAGAGAGATCCTGTATAGCATATACTGTATGCAGAACTCAATTCAGTCCAGTGTTTCTAGATGGCATGTTTGAACTATGTTTTCTTTAAGTATGCAGGTAGAAATTGATGTGTCAGACTTTGTACCATTAGGATGTCTTCCACCTATGAAAATATTAAGATTTTCACAGTCTAAGGCACGTCATTATCTCTGACGTCAGTCGAGAATACACGTCCACAAACCTGCTTAGAAATCTGAAAAACAATGCTTTAGAATTTATCAGGTTTTTAAGTTTTCTCCAGTACACAGAGATAGTTGCCTATTGAAACAAACAGGAATGTTAATGACAGTAGGCTAAAGTATACTTGTATTGTGTGGCATTCATGCGGATGGCAAAGTAAGAATTTCATTGTACAGGGAAACACGTTTCCTAACTGAGCATATGACAAACGCTTTGACCTTGACCTAAAATCAGGGCTGAAGCTGTATCCCACAGCATAACTCACTCAATCCATGGCCACATTGTGCTTCTCATTTCTCGCTAAAGGTTACATCTGTTATAAGTCAAGAATTTTTATGTTTAATTTAACATTGTCCAAACAATGTTGTAGAAAAATTAATGTAATCATTTTAGAAACAGCTTCAGATGTAGTTGAGGACCCTTATTATACAAAATGCCTTATTAACAGGAAAAAAGCATAATTTATCTTAAATGGGAAAAAAAAATCCCCTTTGTATTTTCCTTCTAAGGTGATCAATGTGAACAACAGCAATGTCCTGTCAGTTTAAGTTATTTAGTCATTTTATCTGTTTATGATCCAGTGGACTTTACACAGCACAAAAAGCACCATAAGGAATAGAGTTAATTTTACTTAATTCTTTAAGTGTTTCTGACCTTTGGGACAGTTGCTGTACAGTGACACAGCCAAAGCCCACGAACAAGAAGGCCAGTGTTTATGTTTTGTAGTATTTTGAACCCCTCAAAGGGAAACGTCTCACTTTGCCAGACAGGGGGGTTGAGTTCTATGTATCTTACTGTGCTCGACACTGCAACAGGTTTAATCGCAGGTGCTTTGGTCCATGTGAAGTCCTCCAGCATAATCACAACACCACCTTGCCTGTTGTGCCTTTGTTATACTATAATTCAGGCATTTACCAACCAGTATCCAACTGTTACTTTACTCTGTATGTCAGGAACAGATGATAATTATCTGAGGAATCAGAAGCAGCAGACAGATACTTACAGTCCATTACTATTAGATGTTCTTACAGTGTACCATTTATAGTGTTTTTTTTTAATAAAATGTGGAGATTATACATTGTTTTGTGAGAACAAGCAACATTTGTTTCTTAGCATTAATATGTTGAGTAGACTGAAGCCTACATTTCTATATGTGCTTTCTGAAAGTACAGTTTGAGATTAACATTAATAAACAGCATCTCTGAGGCACAACTGAACCTGTATCTTCTTTGTGCATCACAGGATATTTCAACTGTACAGCGAGATACTTCCTGGAGGGAAATGTTTGGGTTAATATGGCTCTCAGATTATTCCGTACACTGAATAGTGACCCCTCAATGCACAGTGGTCCACAGTGCTCGGTCTCCATCACTCGCTAGAAGTTCAGCTCTGTAAGCATTAGTCCAATCTGGAGAACACTGTCCCAGCATTTGAGATAAGTCCACATTGGCCTCTGGTTCCAACACACGTTTTAGCTCGAGTCTTTTTTTTTTTAAACTCCCTGTCTGAGCTTTCTGGGCGCACAAAGGCTTCTCATATGTGTGCTTCTGTAGTAAAGCGTCACATGACTTGGGCTCAGCATAGACCACACAGAGGGGTCGTGGGCCACTGGCCTGTAGTACAGGAGTGCAGTAGCCATTAGACAGCATCCTGTGTGAAGGGCAGTCATACTGAGTATGGCTGGATTTTGTCTTGGCGCCAGTGGTAGGTTCTGGTGTAGGAGATCCATAGGCTTTGCTGTGAAGGATCCCTGTCAGTGTTGGCAGGTTGGCCTCAGCAGACTGCTCACTGAATGGGGTGGCATACTCAGGCTCTGGGGGAAGTGGCTCGGCATACTCTGGCAGTGTGCCTGGAGTGTCATAATGGCTCAAGGTGAAAGGGGCGGTGTAGCCCTGATCTGAAGAGGGTCTAAATGTCGACCCAACCTTCTGTCCAATGGCTGCAACAGCAGGCTCTGCATAGTCTGGAAAGATTATTGAAAATGAGTCACTGCATTTCTATTAATTAAAACAAGTATTGGCATATTATGGGTATCAGCTGAAATCAGCGCTCATCAAAATCAGTACTATCAGTTGTGAGCAGTTGCTGGGCAAACAGACTCCAGGAGGTTACTAGTCCCAGCCAAGAAATAGTGTAGTACATAACCTGCTGTAAGGTGGTGACATATCATTTTCACACTTGGGTTTTTCTATGGATTAAATGAATGTATTCTATGTTGACAGGAGAGCTTTGGTTGTGGTAGACGGATGTTGTTACTACTGAACAGAACCAGACTAGCTATTTCCTCTCTTTCTAGTCTTTGTGTTGTGCTAAGCTAACAGTCTGTGGCTATACAATACAGTAGCCTTATACACTCACCGTCCAAATTAGGTAGTTTAACATTTTGGGAAATATGATCATTTGCTTTCAAGTTAGATTATTAGATCTACAGTATTGTTCAAAATAATAGCAGTACAATGTGACTAACCAGAATAATCCAGATTTTTAGTATATTTTTTATTGCTACATGGCAAACAAGTTACCAGTAGGTGCAGTAGATTCTCAGAAAGCAAACAAGACCCAGCATTCATGATATGCACGCTCTTAAGGCTGTGCAATTGGGCAATTAGTTGAAAGGGGTGTGTTAAAAAAATAGCAGTGTGGCATTCAATCAGTGAGGTCATCAATTTTGTGAAATAACAGGTGTGAATCAGGTGGCCCCTATTTAAGGATGAAGCCAGCACTTGTTGAACATGCATTTGAAAGCCTGAGGAAAATGGGTCGTTCAAGACATTGTTCAGAAGAACAGCGTACTTTGATTAAAAAGTTGATTGGAGAGGGGAAAACCTATAAAGAGGTGCAAAAAATTATAGGCTGTTCAGCTAAAATGATCTCCAATGCCTTAAAATGGAGAGCAAAACCAGAGAGACGTGGAAGAAAACGGAAGACAACCATCAAAATGGATCGAAGAATAACCAGAATGGCAAAGGCCCAGCCAATGATCAGCTCCAGGATGATCAAAGACAGTCTGGAGTTACCTGTAAGTACTGTGACAGTTAGAAGACGTCTGTGTGAAGCTAATCTATTTTCAAGAATCCCCCGCAAAGTCCCTCTGTTAAAAAAAAGGCACGTGCAGAAGAGGTTACAATTTGCCAAAGAACACATCAACTGGCCTAAAGAGAAATGGAGGAACATTTTGTGGACTGATGAGAGTAAAATTGTTCTTTTTGGGTCCAAGGGCCACAGACAGTTTGTGAGACGCCCCCCAAACTCTGAATTCAAGCCACAGTACACAGTGAAGACAGTGAAGCATGGTGGTGCAAGCATCATGATATGGGCATGTTTCTCCTACTATGGTGTTGGGCCTATTTATCGCATACCAGGGATCATGGATCAGTTTGCATATGTCAAAATACTTGAAGAGGTCATGTTGCCTTATGCTGAAGAGGACATGCCCTTGAAATGGTTGTTTCAACAAGACAATGACCCCAAACACACTAGTAAACGAGCAAAGTCTTGGTTCCAAACCAACAAAATTAATGTTATGGAGTGGCCAGCCCAATCCCCGGACCTTAATCCAATCGAGAACTTGTGGGGTGATATCAAAAATGCTGTTTCTGAAGCAAAACCAAGAAATGTAAATGAATTGTGGAATGTTGTTAAAGAATCATGGAGTGTAATAACAGCTGAAAGGTGCCACAAGTTGGTTGACTCCATGCCACACAGATGTGAAGCAGTTATAACAAACTGTGGTCATACAACTAAATATTAGTTTAGTGATTCACAGGATTGCTAAATCCTAGAAACAAAAACGTTTGTACAACATAGTTTTGTGTTTGTACAGTCAACGGCAGACACTGCTATTTTTTTGAACACACCCCTTTCAACTAATTGCCCAATTGCACAGCCTTAAGAGCGCGCATATCATGAATGCTGGGTCTTGTTTGCTTTCTGAGAATCTACTGCACCTACTGGTAACTTGTTTGCCATGTAGCAATAAAAAATATACTAAAAACCTGGATTATTCTGGTTAGTCACATTGTACTGCTTTATTTTGAACAATACTGTATCTTCTATCTATACGACTCCTCTACACCCACTGACCACATTATTAGGTACACCTGTATAGTTGTATGCTATTCAATGTAACACTTCTGCCTTAAAATCTGTGTTTAAGCTCAAAATGTTTCAATCTTTTGTAAACTGCCATAAATGTATAAATTCAAATATATGTTTATTATTGAGGTCACAGTTAAAGGTGGTGTTGTACTGGACTACATTATATTCAGAGCTGTTCCTAATATTCTGATCATCTATGTAACTGGGGAGGACAAAAAATATAGAGACAGCTCTGAAGCATTCAATTATACTGTACAGGTGTACCTAATAAAGTGGCCGGTGGGTGTACAGGAGTCGTATTAATCTTCTAATCTAACTTGAAAGAAAATGATCATATTTCTCAAAATGTTGAACTATTCCTATGAAGAAGAAATAACTTTCAGAACAGTTGTAGTGATCACATTTTTAACTCGTGGTTGCAATGAAATGTTTCATCATGTAACTGCAGCTTTTTTTTCCTATTATTCTATATACCCTTGTAAACAGTTTTGCAAAAGACACTTTGTCTTAGTGAATTTCTCCTAAGTAAAAGTGTCATTCATCATTGTCACCTAATTAAAAACTTTCAAACCATTTAATGTCATTAAAGTGCTCATAAAATACTGAGATCATTTGTAATTCAATGTTGGCTGACTGAGCTATTCCCAGTTTTGTGCCCATATCTTGCTGCTTATTTTAGCTTTCTCCACCTGCTAACAAAGGCTGTGAGATAAAAGGCTTGGGACTAGGTAAGCAAGGGAAGCTTGAGCTTAGCATTATTTTTTTTTTCACCATTTCACAGCAGACTGTCAATTGTTTATTTACCTCATCCAGAGCCAATGATATTTTAATTAGACAGGATTTAGGGAGGGCCTTGATTGTCTTAGCATTGACCATGTGTTTTGTTTATCACTGGACTGCTTAGTGAAGGGCCCCCCTTGCTGAGGGGTGGGATGGGGGAGGCAGAGAGGGGCCTGGTGGTGGTGGGGAAGTAGGCCGGGTGCCCTTTATCCAGCTCCAATTAAAGGGTCTCTTTCAGAGAGGCTCATGGACCAAAGAAAAGAATGTTTATACTGTGACTGGTGATGGGCTGAGCCAGGGGAAAGAATGGACAGCCCATGGAGAGAGCTGTTTGCCTGTCAGGCCTGGTATGAGCTGCTCAAACGGATCACTGACGCCACAGACTTAAAGCACCAAAGATAAAGGAGGGAAAAACTTAAATGACCAGTATAATCTGAATAGGCTATGAAAAACCAGTAAAACAAGGGAGGCAGCTGATGATACTTGTAGAAAGACTGACCTGTAGCCGTGCTCTGTTAAACAAAGCCATAAAATATCTCTAT